AAAGACCGTCACTAAAATGTTGCTGTCGAAAAGACACAACAAATGCTGATGAACAATGAACGAGCCATGACATTTGTTTTGTTGCTTAGTTAGTCACTTCAGATTCTGACGGTCTGACGGGTTGGCTGACTAAAACACTTCCTGCTGTCGGGATATTGTGTGTTTGGTTTCAATCATCATGATTTTGCCAATAATTATCCATCAGTCATTCGGGGAGTGTAGATTGTCAGCTGCAGCCATTAAACTAAGCAAAGAGAGCCAGGGCAGGAAAAGTTTGTGGCAGTTTGTGGCAGTTTGTGGCAGACGTGTCATATTTGACTATCTAAAGTGCCAAATAAACAAAATCGAGAGTGTTGTGAGTAAAAGGAAATGAAGGAGTAAATTTCTGTGCATAGGAAAAGGGGGAAGGAAGAAGGCACGCTTTTAATTTTTAAAACAGCTAATTGTTTTCTTCTCCTTTATAAATGGGTAGGAGGTCTTTTTGATGAGTTGGAGATCTTCTAGGCAATCTGAAAGACCTGTGACGGGTTTCTTCCCTCCATAAACGTGTTATCAATTATTTTCCTTCGACTTTATAGAGTGGATTTGAAAGTTGTATTCTCCTCCCTAGAGAAGGTGAATGAATCGCTGAAGCTCTTATTATCCTTAATCAACAACTGAAGGTTTTCTTTTTTATACTCGCCACCATGCAATGGAGGTAACACCTAGAAATATTTGTCGGAGACCCTAATAAGTATATATATGTATATATATTCCTTATCAGAATAAAATTATGAGGCGATTCTTTTTGTCCTTCCGTCTGTATGTCCAGGTTTAGGTATAGCGCCCATATAACGGTATTTCCCGATTTTCGGTATTTTAAAGGTTTATGTCACAACTTCCAACCAAATCAGCTGAAACTTGATATTTGGGATTATTGGCATGCCTGTTCTCTCCTTGCGCAAGATGTTCGATTAAGGTCCACTAATCGGTATAGACCCCATAGAACGGTCCCGCCCACTTGTTTGTAATTTTCTAACTTTTACTGCTTTCTCCAGCCGATGTCACTGGTAATTGCAGTTTAATGTTGAACACGTTTGAATCCAGAAAGAGATTCTTGAAAGGGCTTTGAAGCTCTGCTTTCTTTCATAGAATACCTGTGAAGATTTTTTCCCTCCTTCTCCTCCAGAGAAGAACTAAAGGTTTTCCTTTTCTTTATAAAAGAGCTAAAGGTCATCTTCTACGTCGTCTCAAGGAGAAGGTATTCCATTACTTTATAGGAAAGTGGAAGCCCCTATTCCTCTTCATACCCAACCTGTCCTCAGACCATTCTCTACTTCTTTGAAAGATCTTCCTTTTCCAAAAGAAAGCTATGAAGGTCTTCTCCTTTATGAAAAATCTGGGAAGGTCTTTCCACTGAAGAGTATTGTAATGGAGGCCTTCATTTTAAAGTTGACGAGGTCTCATTTAAAGAAGACCAACGAGACTTCTTCAAAGAAGACTAAAAAGTCTTCTTTTTATGGAAGACTACGATGTCTTCTTTATGGAAGACTAATAAGTCTTCTTCATGGAAGACCTCAAGTTATTCCTTGTGACAAACTTAAAGGTGTTCTTGGCAGAAAGCAAAGATATATCCTCCATTAAAGACCAAGAGCTCTTCATTATAGGATACCAAGATGTCTTCTATAGAAAGTCAAGAAAATCTCGTTATTGGAGAAAAAAGTCTTTACTTATAGAAGACAGTGAGGTTTTCTTTATAGAGAAGATTTCATAGTTAAACAAAACTACGGTAGAAATCCCAAGGGTTTTCTTTTTGGAAGTCCTATATTAATAGAAAAGTTCTTCTTTAGAGAAGACATTAGGTATTTTTTATAGACCTAGAGGTCTTCTTCTTAGAAGACCTAGAGGCCGACTTTTTGAAAGACCTAGAGGCCGTCTTCATAGAAGATCTATAGGTCTTCTTCATAGAAGACCTAGAGGTCTTGTCCATAGAAGACCTAGAGGTCTTGTCCATAGAAGACCTAGGGGTCTTGTCCATAGAAGACCTAGGGGTCTTGTCCATAGAAGACCTAGAGGTCTTGTCCATAGAAGACCTAGGGGTCTTCTCCATAGAAGACCTAGAGGTCTTGTTCATAGAAGACCTAGGCGTCTTGTCCATAGAAGACCTAGAGGTCCTCTCCATAGAAGACCTTGAGGTCTTCTCCATAGAATACCTAGTGGTCTTCTCCATAGAATACCTAGTGGTCTTCTCCATAGAATACCTAGTGGTCTTCTCCATAGAAGACCTAGAGGTCTTCTCCATAGAAGACCTAGAGGTCTTCACCATAGAAGACCTAGAGGTCTTCACCATAGAAGACCTAGAGGTCTTCACCATAGAAGACCTAGAGGTCTTTACCATAGAAGACCTAGGGGTTTTCTCCATAGAAGACCTAGAGGTCTTCTCTATAGAAGACCTAGATGTCTTCTCTATAGAAGACCTAGATGTCTTCTCCATAGAAGACCTAGAGGTCTTCACCATAGAAGACCTAGAGGTCTTCACCATAGAAGACCTAGAGGTCTTCAGCATAGAAGACCTAGAGGTCTTCACCATAGAAGACCTAGAGGTCTTCACCATAGAAGACCTAGAGGTCTTCACTATAGAAGACCTAGAGGTCTTCACCATAGAAGACCTAGAGGTCTTCACCATAGAAGACCTAGATGTCTTCTCCATAAAAGACCTAGATGTCTTCTCCATAGAAGACCTAGAGTTCTTCACCATAGATGACCTAGAGGTCTTCACCATAGAATACCTAGAGGTCTTCCACATTGAAGATCAAGAGGTCTTCTCCACAGAAGACCTAGAGCTCTTGTCCATAGAAAACCTAGAGGTCTTGTCCATAGAAGACCTAGAGGTCTTGTTCATAGAAGACCTAGACGTCTTGTCCATAGAAGACCTAGAGGTCTTCTCCATAAAAGACCTAAATGTCTTCTTCATAGAAGATCTAGAGGTCTTCTTATTAGAGCACCTAGAGGTCTTCTTCAGGTGTTCTCTATCCAAATGTTCTTCACATATGGCAAGTATACTCGTCCTTCCACGTTATCGCAAGGTGGAAAAATTCCAATTTAGCAAATATGGTAAAATAATTATCCACTTTTTTAAAATATGAATATCAACGAAGTTATCCACTTATGGTGAACATATTATCCACGTTATCCAAAGGTGGTAAATTAATCTAAAAATGATAAGCCGAAGTGGTATTCATAATTCAAATTAGTTAAGCATATTATCCACAATGTCAAGGGTAAAATGTTATCCATATGTGGTAAATTATTATCCACGTTATCCAAACTAGGTAAAATATTATCCACATTATGCAAATTGGGTAAATTTGTGCTCAAAAAGTTAGAAATATTATCCAAGCTATCGAATTTACTTAGAAATAATTATCCACCTTCTCAAAATTGATAAATAACACTATACACGCTATAACAATAAATTAAACAAGTAAAAAAGCAGTAAGTTCGGCCAGACCGAACTTTGAATACCCTCCACCGTTTGGAATGAATTTGGAAATTTTCAAAAAATAAAATCCTTAAAAATTCTGTTACAATTTTAAAAATACCGAATATATCCGTTTTATTGGAGTCTATACGACGTGGACCTACATAGGTATTGCTTGTCATAAGCCATCAATATATTCAAATTCGAAAACTTGAAAAAAACGGTAAATAATGTAGCTAAAATCATCAAAATATCGTATATAGGGAGGTACCGTTATATCGGAGCTGTGCGAAGACCTGAACAAGCATAGACAATTTTCTGTCATAGGCTGTAGCATCAATTACGAACTTCAAATACGACATCTCAAACAATTTCGGTGGGTATTGCACCTAAAATCCTCCAAATGTCGATTATAGGGAGGTACTGATATATGGGTCCTATACGAAGACCTGGACCTGCATAGACAAATTTCTGTCACAGACTGTAGTTCCCATTACGAACTCTAAATACGTAATTTGAAACAATTCCGGTGAATAATGACGCTAAAATCATCAAAATACCGAATATTGGGAGGTACCGTTATGTGGGGGCTATACGAAGACCTGGACCTGCATAGAAAATTTTCTGTGATAGGTTACAACATCCGTTACGAACTTCAAATACAAAATTTGAAACAATTCCGGATAATAATGTCGCTAAAATCATCAAAATACCGAATATAGGGAGGTACCGTTATATGGGGGCTATACAAAGACGTGAGCCTGCACAGACAATTTTCTGTCTTAGGCTGTAGTATCCATTTCGAACTTTAAATACCAAATTTGAAACAATTCCGGTGAATAATGTCGCTAAAATCATCAAAATACCGAATATCGGGAGGTACCGTCATATGGGGGCTATACGAAAACGTGGACCTACATGGCCTTCCCCATTTTATCCGCAGAAAATGCTATCTTTATTATCCATATGTGTATAGGGGTTTATGCATGCTATCCTACTATTTCCGAAACATTATCCACTTGATAAAAATAATAAGATTCAAAAACAAAAAATTTATCCAAATCAGGGAAAATATTATCCACGTTATCTAACTACTCTGGAGTTTTTATCCAAAATTAAGTTCCTCTGAAATTCAATTGAAAATTCCCCTTTTAAACCACATCCGTCCGGGGAAAATTAAATAAACCCATCACATTGCTGCCCCTCATCCCCTCCACCTTCCAACATGCCCTGGGAAACCTTGTCAAATTGGATTTATGTGCGGACACATGTTTGCATTTGGCCAAAAAGAAAATCCGCCAAAAATAAAACAGCGGAACAATGTTGAATATTCTTGTGAACTTCGAGGTAAATAAATCCTTTTGGCGGTCCCGAATTCCAAACAAAGAAAACTGCTGGAGTCAAGGAGGAAGAAACAATAACAGGAATATCAATAAACTTCGTTGCCCTGCATTGGCGTTGGCGTTCGCTATTTGCCTTCCCATTCCCATTCCCATTCATCAATGCTGAGAAGAATAGCCCAACAGAAGCAAAGACTTACCTCTGTACAAAACTGGCAGCCACACTGATGCAGCACCGTCGAATTGCTGGCATCCTCGACATCGATAAGACATAGCTTACAGGTGAACAGCTCAAAGGGACGTATGGCCAGAGCCAATGATGTTGCGGACGATGTGGCGTTGATGATGTCAGGTTGGATGAGATGCGACGTTGTGGAGGCTTCCGCTTCTTCGCCCACAGCCAAGAGGGCATTTGCCGATGTTGATGAAGTCACGTTTGTGGAGGAGTAGCCAAGCTCTTGGGGGGAGATGGTGGTGGTGCTGCTGGGAAGACCATCAATCACAGATGCATCTCGCATTTCAGGTTTCACATTTGGCATTTTCAGCTGGGTCTTTTCCATGGGAAAGAATGTCATATCCTCCTGTCGCTCCTCGGCTCCCTCCCGGCTGTTTGTGGACGATGCAAAGAATGGCGATGAGTGCAGTGTCAGATATGAGGCCGTGGCTGGTGGTGTCAGCAGTGATGGTTCGGTGGGTGGCGGCGATAGCTTGATTGTGGAAGCGGTTGTTGCGGTATTGGTTGTTATGGTGGTGGGTGAGGTGAGTGAAGGTGTTCGACTTGTGGTTGTAGCGCCACCGCCGCCGCTGCTGCTGCAGGAGTTACGCTGCGATCCCACACCGCTCGAATTGTTCGACGACGTTGAGTTGCGGTTATTGCGTTTCACAGCAAAATGGAGACCACCACCCGCACCGCCACCGACTGCATCCAGGGAGCCATTGCGGCTATGCTGCTGACTATAGTTTCTACTTAGGTTACTACTGCTTACGTTACTAGGATTACGTTGGTATTGGGAAAAGTGAGTCGTTGCTGTCGCCGCCGCTGCCCCTGTTTGCTGCGAATACGGCAGCTGCTGAGGATGGGCCTGCAAGTAGTGCTGATGTTGATGATATGGATGGGGATTGGCCGCGGCACTGTTCAGCGAATACCTTGAGCTTGAGGCGGCCAGTGAGAGGAGACTGGAACACCTTGAGCAGGTGTTGTTCATGCTGGAAACACTATTCCTCAGTCGATTTAATGGACGTATTTGTTCTACCCCGCTGGCACTGAAAATGCCACTACCCGTGTGTGGGAGACGTTGTTGCGATTGGCTGTTTCCCGACTGGCCACCACCACCACCGCCCATTCCCATGGCTGCGGCCGTGGGCGAACATGGCGAACTGGCCTGCCTTGTTAAAGCTATAACCGTCTCACACTTCCTCAGACCCGTATAATGAACTATCGATTGTGACTTCTCCTGATGTAAACTTATTGCACTACCCTCGCGCCGCACAATGTTCCACAACTTCTGTTGCATGACATTCAACGATGAGGTACTACCACCCGTTTGCACTATCCGCTCGCCATGGGAATTGGCTAACTTTTCCCGGCTGCTATAGACCACATTGTAGTCCTGGCTACGGGCGCCTGGGTCACGCATAACCACCATATTTTGTTCGGAAGGTGTTCGGGTGATTGTGATTTCCGGTGAAGAGGGTATTTGGACACCATCGGCCGATGAGTCTCCTCCGCCGGCTCCATTATGTCCTGCCGCCGATTCACCATTTCCATTGCTGGCCGTCGCCGCCGTCGACTTCTGACCCACCGATGGCCGCAGGCCCACCAATGACTTGAGGAAATTACCAAAACGTATCCGTCTCGGCTGTGGGCCCCCTGCAAGCCCCAAAGAGCCTGCATGAGGGCCCTCCAAATCATAGCTGCTGTTGCTACCGCCGAAACCCTCAACCGAGGCAATATCTCCCCCGCTACCACCACCGTTGAGACCAACAATGCTGCCCTTAACGCTCGGCGTCAGACCAACCTTGGCCGAAGCACTCTTCGTGTGCTGCAAAGCTAACTTCGAGGGGTTCAGTTGTTTGGTTATGGCGTCACGTTTCAGGTGATTCACCACCGGTCCACCGATATGGGCCTGAATGTTGATGTTGTTACGGGTCTCGAGTAGAGCTTCACGTTCCGTGTCGCTGGCGTTCGCTGCTGTTGTTGCTGACGCTGTCAGGGATGACGAGTGGAGATCGTTGGCACGTTGATGGTATGGATGAAGGTGATGTTTCTTTGTGTTGGCCAGATTGTGAATTGGCGAGGAATCCTGGAAAGAGAGAGAGGGAGAAAATGAATTAGGGAGAAATATAGAAAACTTAGTCACAAGCCTCCTGTCTTCGAGGCGCTGGCAAAAAATTGTACTCAAAATAAAAATTACGACTATCTTATGGCAAATGCAATGTTAAGAGCCTGATTCTCCCGATAATACATAGAGTAGAAATCGATAAAATATCGATTCAACATCGACGGCCATCGAATCATGAGCTATCGATAAATAATCGACTATCTACAAATGTGCTAAGGACTTGCTTTTTAAGTGGTATCAATTTGTAACCGACTAGCTGTCGATAAATATAAAGGTTAAATGTAGACCTATCGATGAGCTATTTATGAAATATCGACAAGCTGTAGTATCGAAATACTATCGAATAATTTTCAATACGTTATTGTTGAGTTATATACAATGAAACTAGGTAACTCGTGGAACCTAGAACTTTTCACCAGCTATCTCTGAGCTATGGGACCAATAGGCTAGCTTCTATTAGCTGTCGACGTATTATCGATGAAAAACACGATGAGGTATGGATGAGATATCGATGAGATATCCATGAGATATTGATGAGATATCCGTGAGGTATCGATAAGATATCGATGAGGTATCTATGAAACATCGATGAGATATGATGGGATAACAATAAGATATCGCTGAGATATCGATGATAAATCGTTTGTTCATCGATAAGATTTCGATGAGATATTGATGAGATCTCATTGAGATATCGATGAGATATTGATGAGGTATCGATGAGATATCGATGAAATATCGATGAGATATCGACGAGATATCGATGAAATATCGATAAAATGGCGATGAAATGTCGATGAAAAATATCGATGAAACATCGATGAGATAACGATAAGATATCGTTGAGATATCGATGATAAATCGTTGCTTTATCGATAAGACATTAATGAGATCTCGATGAGGTATCGATTAGATATCAATGAGATATCGATCAAATGTCGATGAAATATCGACGAGATATCGATGAAATATCGACGAGATATCGATGAAATATCTACGAGATATCGATGAGATATCGACGAGATATCGATGAGATATCGATGAGATATCAATGAGATATCGACGAGATATCGATGAGATATCGATGAGATATCGACGAGATATCGACGAGATATCGATGAGATATCGACGAGATATCGATGAGATATCGACGAGATATCGATGAGATATCGATGAGATATCGATGAGATATCGATGAGATATCTCGATGAGATATCGACGAGATATCTATGAGATATCGATGAGATATCTATGAGATATCGATGAGATATCTATGAGATATCGATGAGATATCTATGAGATATCGATGAGATATCTATGAGATATCGATGAGACATCTATGAGATATCGATGAGATATCTATGAGATATCGATGAGATATCTATGAGATATCGATGAGATATCTATGAGATATCGATGAGATATCTATGAGATATCGATGAGATATCTATGAGATATCGATGAGATATCTATGAGATATCGATGAGATATCGATGAGATATCGACGAGATATCGATGAGATATCGATGAGATGTCGATGAGATATCGATGAGATATCGATGAGATATCTATGAGATATCGATGAGATATCGATGAGATATCTATGAGATATCGATGAGATATCGATGAGATATCGATGAGATATCTATGAGATATCGATGAGACATCTATGAGATATCGATGAGATATCTATGAGATATCGATGAGATATCTATGAGATATCGATGAGATATCTATGAGATATCGATGAGATATCTATGAGATATCGATGAGATATCTATGAGATATCGATGAGATATCGATGAGATATCGACGAGATATCGATGAGATATCGATGAGATGTCGATGAGATATCGATGAGATATCGATGAGATATCGATGAGATATCTATGAGATATCGATGAGATATCGATGAGATATCTATGAGATATCGATGAGATATCGATGAGATATCGATGAGATATCGATGAGATATCGATGAGATATCTATGAGATATCTATGAGATATCGATGAGATATCGACGAGATATCGATGAGATATCGATGAGATATCGATGAGATATCTATGAGTTATCGATGAGATATCTATGAGATATCGATGAGATATCTATGAGATATCGATGAGATATCTATGAGATATCGATGAGATATCTATGAGATTTCGATGAGATTTCGATGAGATATCTATGATATTTCGATGAGATATCTATGAGATATCGATGAGATATCTATGAGATATCGATGAGATATCTATGAGATATCGATGAGATATCTGTGAGATATCGATGAGATATCTATGAGATATCGATGAGATATCGATGAGATATCAATGAAATATCGACGAGATATCGATGAGATATCGATGAGATATCGATAAGACTTGATTAGACATCGATGAAATATCGATGAGATATCATTGAAATATCGATGAGATATCGATGAGATTTCGAATAGCTATCGGTGAGTTATCGACGTATTATCGATAAGCTAAAGACGAGCTAATGATTCCCCGTCGATGAACTACATATGTGTTATAAATGGTGCTATCAACAAGCTGTCAGTGAACTATCGATAAACTGTTATTGATATGTTATCGATTAGCAAAATCTAAGTTGTATATCTCTATCTATTATCTAATAGTCAATAGGCAGTTGATGAGCTAGTTATGAGGTACGTACAAGCAATTGACTTGTTATCGACGTGCTGTCGATAAACTATCGATAAGTCATGGAGATATCGATGAGATATCGATGAGATATCGATGAGATATCGATGAGATATCTATGAGATATCTATGAGATATCGATGAGATATCGACGAGATATCGATGAGATATCGATGAGATATCGATGAGATATCGATGAGATATCTATGAGATATCTATGAGTTATCGATGAGATATCTATGAGATATCGATGAGATATCTATGAGATATCGATGAGATATCTATGAGATATCGATGAGATATCTATGAGATTTCGATGAGATATCTATGAGATTTCGATGAGATATCTATGAGATATCGATGAGATATCTATGAGATATCGATGAGATATCTATGAGATATCGATGAGATATCTGTGAGATATCGATGAGATATCTATGAGATATCGATGAGATATCGATGAGATATCAATGAAATATCGACGAGATATCGATGAGATATCGATGAGACTTGATTAGACATCGATGAAATATCGATGAGATATCATTGAAATATCGATGAGATATCGATGAGATTTCGAATAGCTATCGGTGAGTTATCGACGTATTATCGATAAGCTAAAGACGAGCTAATGATTCCCCGTCGATGAACTACATATGTGTTATAAATGGTGCTATCAACAAGCTGTCAGTGAACTATCGATAAACTGTTATTGATATGTTATCGATTAGCAAAATCTAAGTTGTATATCTCTATCTATTATCTAATAGTCAATAGGCAGTTGATGAGCTAGTTATGAGGTACGTACAAGCAATTGACTTGTTATCGACGTGCTGTCGATAAACTATCGATAAGTCATGGAGGTACTATCGATTAATTATCCTGTGGCTACTAATGAGCTATGGACGAATTATATATTATCAACGTCCTATATGTGAACTATCGGAAAGCTTTCCATATACCTTCGGGAGTTATAGCAGACATTCGCCCCACAAACAGTCGGACGGACATAGTCATGGACTCTAAATGCCCCGCATTGTCCTAATTGACATAGGTCCCAGAGTCGATACTTCGCCGAAGCTCATATACATACCCTCAGAAGCCATAAGACTGATTGTATGATTAAGTTATTATCTTAATTGTTGTTGTTTTTGTGTTATTGTTACTTACCCTAGAATCGTGTTCTAGTTCCTCCTCAAGTGCACTATAAACGGGTGCGTACCACGAGTACGCGTACTGTTTGCGTGTTGCAGCTGCCGTGTTGTTGGCTAACGAACTGGAATTGTTGTAGGCAGAAGAAGAAGCTGAGTTTGATACTTTTTGTTGCAGTTGTTGTTGTTGTTGTGGTTGATGAGAATGCACTTTAGCTTGATGCTGTTGTTGCTGTGGATAATTGTGATTATTATGATGCGCTTTATGCAAAACAACTGCAGAATTGCTGTTGCTATTCCCCCCTACGGCCGACGATCCGCAGCAGTGATGAGGCTGCTGATGATGATTATTATTGGCCAGGAGAGCACAAGTGGATGTAGTCACCAGATTATTGTTGTAATTCAGTTGTAAACTACGACGATGCTGCTGCTGCTGTTGGTGATGATATGTTGCGGGTAAATGCTTAGTGGGCGGTTTGCGTCGATACGTCTCCTCGGAAAGGGAACGCAATGTGGAATGTTGTTGTTGCAGTTGGGTGATTGAGCTAAACGTGGAGGAGGCTGTGGGTGCCGATGGCCTCCTATTATTTGTAAAGTTGTATTGTTTGCTATTGTTGTTGTGACTTTTTGATTGCAATTTAAAGTTTTGCTGCTGCTGCTGCTGCGGCGGATGATATGTGGTGCTGGTGTTGTTGGAGGCTGCCGGCTGGGTGGCCGACAAATCCTTTTTGGTAAAAATCAACGATGCACTGTTCTTGTTCAAATAAATGGACCTTTGCTTGTCCTTAACCGTTGCCTCAATGTTCGTCAGCAGCGGTTCAGTTTCGGATAGGGGCAGACAATAGTTATACAATTCACTGCTGTGGTTGGTTGTCGTTGTTGTTGCTCCTGCCGTTGGAGTTTGAGTGGCAGTTTGTTCGCGCTTGTTGCTGGCCTTTGTCTCGACTACGGTGTCAGCTGGAAAATTTATAATGAAATTTTCTGCAGCATCATCAAAGGTGTTATGACGCGAGGGTCGATTGGGGACCGGCTGGTTGGCACAGGCCGTATTCAGGCTCAGACTACTGCTGTCGTCACTGGATGATGAGCGAGAATACTGGCTGGCATAGGAATAACGGTGTTGTTGTTGTTGTTGCTGCTGCTGTTGTTGTTCCTGGTGGCAACTATTGTTCACAGCCTGTTGTATTGTGGCAGTCGACCTAAACAACGAACCACCCGACTCGTCCTGCGAGGGCGGTGAGGTGCTTATGAGATCAAGTAATTTCACACCTGAACAATTGTCATTTGTGGAGCACAGCAGGGTGGTGGGTCGTAGGGGACGTTGTTGCAGTTGTTGCTGATGGTGATAGAAATCGTTGTAGAACACTGGCAATGAAGAGGTGGCTGTGGCGCTCGGCCCGGTCGGTTGAGCAAAACAGGCGTTATTCAAATGATTCTCGACAAGGAGTTCGCGCTGCTCCAATTTCGATTTGCGTGGAGGGGGTGGTGGTATTGTTGTTGCCGCCGTTAATGTGGTTGTTGTCACGGTTGATGTTGCTGTAATTATGTTGTTGGTATTGTGTAACTGTTGCTGTTGTTGTTGCAGTTGCCCAAAGTCATTAAGGTTGTCCTCTGAACATTTGTTGGTCAGTAGGAGATTTGTTGGTGCTGCTGTTGTTGTGGTGCTGCTACTGCTGCAATTATTTGCTAGAGGTTGTAATAGTTGCTGTTGTTGTTGTTGGAGTTGTTGCTGTTGTTGCTGTAAATGCTTGTGTGTTGCTGCAATATGCTGGTGTTGCAAACGATTTGCCTCATTTTGTTGCAATGATGACTTCTGCATTGGCGGTCTCATCGTTGATGTGTTTTTGGGCAAAAGTGCAGCTGATGGAATTGTTGTTGCTGTTGTTCGAATTGGCGTTGTTGCTGTTGTTGCTTTGGTTCACTGCAGTATGCAAATATTGCATTTTAATGCCAGCCATTTCTGTTATCGATGCCATTTTGTAGACCAAACAAATGAAAACGTTCTGCAATGAAATAAAAGGGTTGGAGAAGGGGGTGAAATTGAGTTAAAACTTTAATGGCAACGTTTAAATGCGGAAAATTGGGGATAAAGGATTTGAATAAACCATGGGGTAAATTTGTGGTGAACAAGAGAAAATATAGGAAATTGGACCAAATCGAAACTTATATTAAACTGATTGAGTATGTATTTAAGGCCTGAACGATAAAAAAATCCTTCGATGAGGTATCCTTATATAGAAGGCCAACTAGAGGTATTTCCTTTATAACCTCAGCCATATGGCTATAGCGTATATATCCAAAACCTGCCTCATCGAAATAACGTTTCTTTGGACCAAATCCGTTTCCGGGAATTTGGAGTCGATCAAGCGATGTCCGTCCGTCTGTCTGTCTGTTGGCTGGTGCGCATGATAACTCACGAAGGGAGTATCCGATTTGGTCCAAACTTGGTACATCGCAATATTATTATCAAAGTTAGATCGAGTTCGGAGATGGACTATATAGGTCCACCTTCCCCACAAAATGTGAATATTTTAAAAGAAAATAATTAAGTGCACAGAAAGAGAAAGGGTAGTACAATTTGGCTCCAAATTTGCTGGGCCAGGTGCGAAAATGGACAATATCAACTACCTCCACTCCCCACAAAGGGTCAAAATTTTGAACAATTTTAACCCTTATAAAATGTGATTTAAAAGTCCGATTGTCTTCATAAAAAGCACATCACATTATTTTTATTAACCCAAGGTTTGGCGTGAACATGGATATAATAATATCGGTCCACTCCTTCTGGTACCTACCCCACAAAGCGTCAATGTTTTGAATAACCAAACCTATCATAAAATCCGAGATTCTCTTCATATTTCACACATTTTATTATTTCTACTAACACAAGATCTGCTGTAAAGATGGGAAATATCGCTCCACTCCTTCTGGTACCTCCCCACAAAGGGTAAAATTTGGGATTAACCATGAAGCTCATAAAACGCGAAATTGACATCCGATTCCATTCAGACTTGTTAATTCTCAATATTTCCATCAACACAAGATCTGTTGTAAAGATGGTAGAGATCGGACCATTCCTCCTGGTACCTCCCCCACAAGGGGTCAAGGTTTTGAATAAACAAACGATTAGAAAATCCGAAATAAACATCCGATTCTCTTCATATTTCACACATACCATTATTTCTACTAACACAAGATCTCAATATTTCCATCAACACAAAATATGTTATAAAGATGGTAGAGATCGGATCATTTCTTCTGGGGCCTTCCCCACATAGGGTCAAATACTGGAAAAAAAATCAAACGTCCAAAAAAAGCAAAATAAACATCCAACTCTCTTCAAATTTCACACACACAAAAAATCTTCTAACACACGATCTGTTGTGAAGATAATATACAGGGTGTGATAAAAAAAACTGCAATAAAATCAAACGCCATAATTTTTACATTTTTCTTAAATTTCATGGAATGAAAGCAAAAATGTCGGAAATAGCATCAACTTTTAGAATAAGTTTAGATTTGTTCGAATTTAACACCTTAGGCACTAATTATGGCCTTCAAACGGCCAATGAAACCGTCAAACGCTGCCCAAATGTTGCTCTGCGGTATTTTGGCCCATTTCCGGCAAAGCGCTTGCCTGAGGTGATCGACTCTTTGGTATTTTTTAGTGCCAACCTTCCTCTCAAAATACTCCAGACACAATAGTCCAACGGATTGGTATCTGGAGATTTTGGTGGCTATTGTGCGTTGGAAATTAAGCGAGGAAGCTCATTTTGTAACCATTCTTGGGTGGCGCGTGCTGAGTGCGATGGTGCTGAGTCCTGTTGGAATGTCCAAGGTCTGCGACCAAAATGTTTGCGTGCCGAAAGCTTTAATACACCCTCCAGAATATTTTCGCGTCAATATTCGGCATTTATTCTGATGTCACGGTCGGTTAATACGAGTGGAGAGCGACCATCGGCTGTTATGGCGGCCCACATCATCACCATGGCCGGCGCTTGAGCTCTGGTGGCCAACCGAAGGTGCAGATTTTCAGCTGAGCTCTTTTTGGCAAGTAAATACGATCATTTTGTTTATTTACAAACTGCTGGACAACGAATGTTTTCTAGTCGGAGAAAACCAAATTCGGCAGTTCACTACTTTCGATCAAGTGAAGCAACTCTTTACCTCTTTTGAGTCTGTTTTCTTTCCGTTGCGATATATGTTCTTGCACTTTTTGGAATTTCAATGGCTTTACCCAGAAGCTCATTTTATAATATTTGCCGAATGGAAAAATTGCGATATGTTCAGCTCACGAGCCATTTTTTGGCCACTACAACACGGGTTTCGATCAAGTCACTTCTTTGCTTTTCGAACCATTTCTGCTGATGTTTTCTTCCGTCCACTTCCTTGACGTCGGTCGGGCTACGCTACCAGTATCATGGGAACGAGCGATGGTACGAGACACCTAATAATTATTCTCTTTTAAGTGCTGTAGTGCCCTAACAATAGCCATTTGTGGTTTTCCAGCCAAATATAAAGGAATCACACTTGATCACGCTTGAATTCCATCACGAATAACTTTTTGTTTCTGGAAAATTCTCATCGAAATGCTTTTGTACGCTTGTAAACAATACAATGAGCAGTCACTGGAATAATTTTAACAGCTGTCCGACGAGTGGCTTAGAAATGACAGCAGTCTGAAGTTGGCTGCAGTTTTTTTTTCTTATCACCCTGTATAACCTCTTTAGCCATATGGCTTTAAAAAATGTAAAATTCTATCTATACAAATCCCAAAAAGCTATCTTGTCTGTAGAACCCTTGAGAATGATCACTTATCTTCTAAAGACCTGTAGAGTAGTTTTTTTTTTGTTTCCAGAAGACCTACGTAAAATGTTCTGCCCATATATAAAATGTTGAAAATCTTCCTTCTATAGAGGACCTACAAAAAGCTTGCTGTCTATAGCAGACCTATGAAGCGTTTTCGGTCTATAGAAGGTCTGTAGAAGGTGTTCCATCATTGGCATACATGTAGAAAGTCTTCTGAATATAAAAGACCAGTCGAAGGTTGCTGTTTTTATAGAAGACCTTAAAATACTGGGACTATTTTTTGTCTTTAAAATCCCTGAAAAGGGTTATCTATTCAGAGAAATTGTGGGAGTAGTTTACTTTCCAAGGGGACCTGTAGAAGGCCTTTTCGATAGAGAACACCTCTTGATGGTTTTATAGTCTATGGGATATAGATTCTAATGCCATTAAAAATGAAGTAAATTAATGTAAAACATAATGAACAAGTAAAAAAGCTGTAAGTTCGGCCAGGCTGAACTTTGAATACCCTCCACCATTTGGTACAAATTTAACAATTTTCAAAAAAAAAAAAAAAAAAAAAAAAAAAATAAGAATAAAAAATAAAATCCGCTAAAAATGCTGTTAAATCTTAAAAATACCGAGTGTAGCCATATTAGGGTCTATACGACGACTTGGACCTGCATAGGCAACTTTTGTCACAAGCTATTACAATATTCAAATGCGAAACTTGAAAAACAAATTCCGTAAATAATGTAGCAAAAATCATCAAAATACCGAATATTGGGAGGTATCGTTTTATGGGGGCTATACCACAAAACGTCGACCTGCACAGATAATTTTCTGTCATAGGCTGTAGTATCCATTACGAACTTCAAATACAAAATTTTAAATAATTCCGGTAAATAATGTCGCTAAAATCATCAGAATACCGAATATTGGGGGGTACCGTTATGTGAGGCCTATACGAAGAAGTGGACCTACATTGCCCATTTTTTGTTTTATGCTGTAGTATCTATTACGAACTTCAAATACTAAATTTGAAACAATTCCGGTAAAAAATGTCGCTAAAATTATCAGAATACCGAATATCGGGGGTACCGTTATATGGGCGCTATACGAAGAAGTCGACCTACATAGTCCATTTTCAATACCAAAAGTCCTGTAGACATAATACACATTAGAGCAAAATTTTATTAACCTACTTCATGACGTTCGGAAGCTAAAGTGATTTCCACAAACGGACGGACATCGCTAAATCGACATAGACTTGTATGCTGATCAAGAAAATTTGTGGGGTCTAAAATGTATATTTCGAGGTGTTACAAACGAAATGACAAACTTAATATACCCTCCATACTATGGTGGAGGGCATAAAAAGGGCAAGGAAAACAACGTTAAGGGAGGTCGAAATTTGAGTTATGACCAATTTAACCATCCTCGAAGTTTTTAAAATTTGAAAGCGCCGGGATATAGGGTATACTTGTATGTTTTGTCTATTAGTATAGCATTCTTGTACCTTTAAGCAGCATAAAATTCTATGTCGATTTAGCAATGTACGTCCGTCTGTCCGTCTGTAGAAATCACTTTAGCTTCCGAACGAAATGAAGTAGGTTGATAAAATTTTACTCAAATGTGTACTATGTCTGCAGGATTTTTGGTATTGAAGAAGGGGCTATGTGGGTCCACGTCTTCGTATAGCCCCCATATAACGGTACCTCCCGCTATGCGGTATTTTGATGATTTTAGCGACATTATTTACCGGAATTGTTTCAAATTCGCATTTAAAGATCGTAATGGATACTACAGCCTATGACATATAGATTTTTTGTATCACAAAAAAATTGTGTTTCAAGCATTATATTACAATGTCCGATTTACAATTTTCAGTTTATAACCTTACCCATACCTACAAAAGATTATTATTTCTATAAAATTTCATAAAAAACCCACCTCAATTATTCCAATTATTATTAACCGACAAAGATCATCAATTAATTAACGATTAAATTAATCACAATATTTTCTCACACTCTCATACACATGCACACATGCACATACATACACTCACACTCAATCACAATTCATTCTCCCCCCTCTCGACGTAACGATGTGTTAATGGAACCTTTTCAGAAAAGGCGTCTATCATAATCAATCAAAATTACCCGACCTAACCCAAAAACATTGCGTCATTTGTGAGACACGGAAATAATGTGGC